ACCCCCATTCTTATGGGTGTGATGATGTAGTTGAATGTTTCAATTAGCTTATGGGTACAATGTTAATATTTGCTGATTTTAATGTTGATTTGAATTGCGTTCAATTAATAGGTTCTTTTTTAATTGATGAATTGTAGTTTCAAATGCAGTTCTAGTTAAGTACTCTAAGCTTGTTTGAGAAAGATGTATTAGAGTTAATGTTATTAGTTGATGATTGTAGTGATTGGGTTGTTGCGGATTTAGTTCTAAAAAGTGGGTCTAAATGAAATCTTTCAAATCTAGCTTGAAGAAGAAGATTGATTAAGGTATTGGGCTGTTAATATGTGTTATGCTTGTCGAGGTTCGAAAGAACTCGTTTGATTTGTGATAGTTGATTGAGAAATGTCTATTGCACTTATTCCCTAGCCTCCCATGGAGATTCAACAACTTTTGGTAAATAATAATCACACATTTTGCGCAATTGGCATTCAATTGATCACACTCCCAAGAAACCCTCTCTACTTGTTTACTCTAGGTTATTTGTAGTTGTTAATTGTTTACCCAAATCCCCCCATTTGTTTTTGATTTTCAATACCTTGTCATTTACTTTATTGTTGCGAAAATGTCTAAATCTACAAACTATTACAACACCATTTAACTTGTAATAAAATTCTTTATTTTATCACTCCCTGTGTGATCGACCCCATCTCTTAGTTGGGTTTAGACTTGTTAGTGACCGCCTACACTTAGAACCAGATGAAATGTAGTTGAGCATTATCAAAGTTTTCAACTAACCTTCCTGTTACAGGATTCTAGTGACCTTAAATGATATAAAAAATCACTCCCAAACTAATGAATTGACCATAGCATCTAAGAACAATTAAGAATCACTCGGTACGACCATATATGGAATTCACGAATGGTTCAGCTCTTAACTTAGAAATTTTCAAGGTGTTACAATATCTCTCCCTTGGGATCATTATTCCTCCAATGATGTTTAAACTGGGAATAGAGGGGAAATAAGTTAATTTGACTATATTTTGTACTTCTGAACTTTTCCAAAAACATAGGAGTAAGTGATTCATTCTGATAGTTTAGAAACTGGATTTGAACACGCTTGGCGCAAACTTCACGTCAAATTTTATGATTACATGCCATGACATTAAATAAGAGTATTTGGGCACGAAGTAAGAGTAGGAATACTATACCTTGCGAGATAGATTGATACCATTCAAGTTTAGAAACACTTGCCAACCTGTGCTTTAGGAATACTACTCATCGTCACCATCACTAACACAACTGAAAAAGGGATCACTGAAAAAGCATAGTGCGAAGAATCATAAGCATGATTCATTCGAGAAATATGATATAAGATTATGAATGATGTAATATTATGCTCCTAGCCACTGAGAATAAATCATGAATTTGAGAGACTATAATACTATGAGACATGAGTGCTTATATGAATATGCTAATATCATGAGGCTGATATCCATAGCTTTATGGTGTAAGATTGAGATCGATGGGCTATTTGAAGTCTTTGTCCTCATTCTGGTAATTGAGCATAGATGTGAATCTATCTGAACTAAATGAGCGCAGGTTATGGACACAATTCAGATATTTCAAAAATCAATAAGATACTGTAATGATTGAACCTAGTGGAATACACAAGATAATGAATTGATTAATATATCTCTAAAACTGTTTCTGAAAACATTGCTATATGATTCTCCACTTTGTATTGGTTTCTCATCTTATCATCTCCCCCTTGGGTCTAAAGCTAACACTTTAAAGTTGATATATTCAATCATCTCTAAACTGGTCTAAATTCTCTCTACTCTAATACTCAAGAAAGGATTATGTCATGGCTACTCAACTCTTCATGTGCATGTACGAGGGTTCCTTCTAAGACCTCTTTCTAAGATGCTTCTTTTAACATCTTCATGCTTCTATAGAAGTCTTTCTGTAATCGTTAATAATAATTGCTTATAAAACCTCTTAATCTAAGGCTTAATAGTCTGAGTTGTCCTTCTTAGCCCACTAATACCGTCCTTTAAATTTCATTTGAGGAAACTTGACCTATATTTAAGAGGATAGTCATTGAATATATATGATCTCTCTGACAAAAATCTTAAAGGGTAATGTATAATGCTTACATCAACCTACTCCATATTTGTAGCTCAAATATACTATCTAGGTAATTTTGAAAAATCTTAAACTCATTGGAACGTCGTCTAACTACATACGATAGGAGGTACACCACTTTACGCTCTTGATACTCTAATGACTTAGCCACACTCTCTTGATCTCATCTAAGATCACCAAATTTTATCAAAAAGTAACACCTTAATTCTTCACCTAATTTATGCAAAACCGACTTGATCATATCTTTAAAACTAACATCATCACCCTCATGTGGCCATCCTGATTATCATGATACTCGTCTCAAATTCAAGATTAGTGTCTACTACCAAACACATATAAATACAATTGCTCATATATTATACTAACTTACAACTACTACATAGAATTAACAAACACCCACCCACTAAGACCTCATCACAAGTTGTCAATCGTTATCTCTCGATCTAGATACTAGCATTATAGTTTACCATCACAGTTCCTTTCAAAACATACGTACTATTTAATCATTCACTATATAAAATTTTCACGTTACTTCTATTCCCTGTAAACATTATGGCTCTCCCACAATAAACCATATGCCTAGCTTAGATCTATCACATCATGAATACTCTGCTCTTTTATTCAACATTAATACTTGGCCTTCACTAAAACAACGTTACATTGGCATAAACTCTCTTCTGGTTAAAGTATACTCTAACTCATCCATATTAGAAACTTTTACTCTACCTCATGAAATCTACATAAACTAATCACTTCTTGGTCAACCCACAATGAAAAACACCTCAGTAATAACTTACTGGGTGCATGACTGCAACAAAATAATTTTCCTTGTCACTATCTTTCTTTCTTAGATTATTATACCTCTGCATGCATTCATAAACTCTAAACAATTTCACTACTTCTTCTTATAAAATCATAACGCATACTATCTTTTCGGATGAAAATACTACCCAATCTCTAAAACAAACTTCCTCATAAGGGTGTCAACTAAAACTAGGTTTAGAGAAGAGAGACTTTGAGTAAATCTTGCTTAAAGCTCTAATTCACGATTCATATGAAGAAGAGTACATTCCTTCCAATCTAAATAGTTAAGCTTACACACGGGCTTCCCTCCATCCCCTTTGCAGTCTCTTGACTTTCTGAAGACTTTATTTGAGAGTAACTCATCGATAAAGATCTAGGCTTCACTTTTAAAGCACCTTGAGTATGAGGGGAAGTCGAATGGATTTGAGAAACCCACAAATTTGAATAACTTTCTTATGACACAGTTCTATTGCATAATTTAGAGTATGTAATATTACAGAAACTTTTCGTAAATGTATGTAGTCCCACATTTATGGGAGTGGGGCCCTCAAAACCATAATTAAGATCCTAACTACATGGCTTCACAAACACCCTAGGACACTTGAACTCTTTGCTCAAATACAAACTTTGTCCGGACTCGAGCAAACACACTAGATGTGGCCGACACTCGAGAACAATTGGTGTCCCCCAAGTAAACCTTCTTCTTGGTTGACTATAAGTTGAAGACTAACTCATGCATACACACACATCAAATTAAAAGAAATCATAAATTAATAGTCTAATAAATCTCAAAAGTTTATGGATATATTGAGTATAAAACATAAGTTTTAAATAAAACCTCTGAAACTGAAAGGCTCTCCAAAACTATCTATCTATAAAGCTTCTAATGTAAAAAGAAAAGTGTCGGGACAAAACCCATGACTCCTCGAGAGAACTACTACTAACATCTCATAAAACCAAAGTCCTCTAGAGGAAAGGAGGTCTCACTCAAAAGGTGAGGAGTGGATGAAGTCATCTCAACAGACTCTTGTTGAGGATGCTAAGAACATGTGTCTGCATCACAAAAAGAAGCAGGTCGAATGACATCAGTACATTGAATGTCCCAGTATGTAATATAAGTTTATAACAAATAACTGAATGAAAATATTGCAATAGATGTAGACATATACTCAATTGAATGTAAAGAAATAAAAAAGTGAAATCATTTAAACTTTACAAAATACTTTCTCATCTCTAAACTCAACATATTATGTTGGAGTTCATTGATTGAACTTTAACTCTATAAACATAAATAAAGGCAAGAAGAAGAGAAGAAAATATTTTTTCTAGTGGAAAGATGTTTTTTAATTGAACTGAAATGTTGATTAAATACAAAGAAAATGCTATAGCTAAGGCCTATATCTAAGAAACTAATTTGCACATGATTCCATGATAAAAAAAACTATTAAAAATAGAAACTCAAATCCTAAAAAATAGAACCTAACATAAAATGTTGAAAATTGCTGAAAGAGCTGTAGAAAATCCAGCAAACTTCTATTCACTAACTACTGCAATAACTGAGGCAATTAATAAACACTCCTCCTTGCTTCAGTTGCTGAAAATTCCAAGTCTTTCCCAGAGAAATTTGAATCTTCTCCTTGGTAAGGTTTTGGTAAAAATATCTGCTAGTTGAAGATCCTTCTTGCAGTAAAATTGGTAAAAATATCTGCTAGTTGAAGATCCGTCTTGCAGTACTTTAACCCAACATATCCTTCTTTCCAAGCATCTTTGAAAAAGAATAATTTGATATTAAAATGCTTGGTTTTTCCATGAAAAACTAGAATATTTCACATAGCAATAGCTTCTTGATTATCCACAAACACCTCTGTGCAGTTTTATTGCTTTAAATTAATATCAAGTAGCACTTTTCTAACCCATTAGGCTTGATTTGCAGTAGTTGTTGCTGCTATGAATTAAACTTCACTTGTTGATTGTGCAACAATCTCTTGCTTCTTAGAACACCAAGAAAATATTCCTGAACCAAGATTAAAACAATAACCAAAAGTACTTTTCATGTCATCGGAAGAGCCACCCTAATCACTACCAGAATACCCCTGCAACACATACTTCTTATTCGTATAGAACTTGATTCCAAAATTCAATGTTCCCTTAACATATCTTATCACCGTTTTAGCTGCTCTAAAATGAGAGTCAGTTGCACAATTATTGAATCTAGATAGAATACTTACATCATATAAAATGTCGGGTCTAGTTGGAGTAAGAAACAAGAGACAACCAACCAAACTGATGTAAAGAGTCTCATCCACTTTTTCAGCTTCATCATTCTTACTCAATTTCTCCTTTTGACAAATAGGAGTAGCTGTCTCTGTGCAATTTTCCATTCTGAACTTTGTCAAAATATCTTTTGCATACTTATTTTGACAGATGAACACTTCATTTTGCTCTTTCTTGATTTCCATTCCTAGAAAATACACCATTTCTCCAAAATTCGTCATCTCAAAATTATGTTGCATATCTTCTTTAATTTTCTTGACAAGTTGATTATTACTTCTAGTAAACAATAGATATTCTACATATAGTGAAATAAAAATAAAGTTAATTTCATCACCTTTAATGTAGAGAGTAGCTTTATTAAGGCATTTTCTAAATCCCAATTGAACCAAATGCTCATAAATCCTATTACACCAAGCTCTTGGTGCCTGCTTTAGTCCATACAACAATTTTTTGAGCTGATAGACTTCATTTTCATGCCTTTTCACTGCAAATCCTTTAGGTTCCTCAACATAAATTTCCTCCTCAAGAATGCAAATTTAACGTCCAACTGATACACGTTCAAACCATTTTTTGCAGCTATAGCCAATAATAATCTGGTGGTTTCTAATCTAGCAACAAGAATAAATGTATCAGAAAAATCAATACCAAAAATTTGAGCATACCCATTTACAACTACTCTGGTTTTGTGCTTGTTTATAGAGCCATATGCATTTAACTTGGTTCTGAAAATCCACTTCACTCCTATGACTTTCCTATCGTCATGTCTTTTCACAACTTTCCATATCTGATTCTTCTCAATCATGGTGAGTTCCTCCTTCATTGTAACTCTCCTTTTTGGATCTTTCTTTGCTTCCCAAAAAATTGTTGGCTCAAGAACAACCATATTGCATCTCTAATAGATATTAGAGAGAGATGGTGTGCCTCTTATAGGGATGTCATCCACCAATTCATCTTCATTCAGCTGGAGCATTGTACATTGATTTGGAATGAATGTTGGTTCTACTTCTTTCCAGTTCCATTGTTCATCTTCCATGAAATGCACATCTCTACTTATGAAGATTTTCATTGTATGAGGTTGGAAAACCCTGTAAGCCTTAGAAACAGGGTTGTAACCCACAAATATTCCAGCTTCCGCCTTTTTATCCAACTTATCTCTTTTTGCCTGTGGCACATAAGTAAAGCACAAGCATCCAAACAATTTGAGATTTTTCAAAAAAGGTTTATAACCATACCACACTTCAAATGGCGTCTTTCCCTATAATGCTTTTTTTTGAAGCATGTTGAGTAGAAAGAGTGAAGTATGCACAGCTTCAGCCCAGTGCTTTTTTGTCAAACACTTTTCATACAACAAACGTCTTGCCATCTCCATTATGGTACAATTCTTCCTCTAACTAACTCCATTTTGTTGTGGAGTGTATGGAGCAGTGAGTTGGTGTTCAATCCTAACTTTTTCATAAAATATATTAAACTGATCAGATTTGTACTCCTTCACATTATCAGACTTTAGGGATTGAATCTTACAACAACTTTGAGTTTTGATCCACTACTTGAATTTCCAGATGATAGTGGCAACCTGTGACTTCAACCTGAGAAATTAAATCCAACACATTCTCGTACAGTCATCAATGAAAACTATATAATACTTATTCCCTATGACTGATTGAGTTTTTTGAGGACCATGCGGATATGTGTGGATTAACTTTAGTTTTTCAGTATCTCTCCAAGTTTCTTTGTTGAAAGGAACTCTTGTTTGCTTGCCAAATCGACAAGTTTTGCAATCTGGTATTTCATCTTCAAGGTTAGGCAGCCGTTGAACTAGATCTTTCTTCTGTAGGTTCTTTACATCATCATGATTGAAATGTCAAAGCCTTTTGTGCCAAATTTCTGCATTGGTGTTAGTTGCAGAATAAGTTTCTTGCTTATGCACTAAAGGATCCAACGTAAAGTTCTTCCCTTCATCATTACTTTGAACAAATTTTTTCCATCTTCATCATTGATTTTACAATAATTTATTTCAAAGTGAAGTTTGCAACCATTATCAATCATCTGGCAAACACTTAACAGACTATGACTTATATTAGGTACAAAATACACGTCTTTGATTAGTTTTGTAGCTGAAGCGATCTTAATTTCCACATTAAGTTTGCCTTCAACCAAAATATAATCCCCATTGCCATTAGTTTGGAAACTACCTAAGTATCCAACTCCTTGAATAGATCACGATCAAATGTCATGTGGTTTGTGCAACAAATGTCAATAAGCCACTTGTCACTTGAGCTGCTAGTTGCAAAATAGGTTGCTACAAAGTGTTGCACTTCTTCTTCGTGATTAGGTACCTGTGGCGCATTATTTTTTTGAGTGTTGGTTTTGCAAATCTTTTGTTGATGTCCCATCTTCTGACATTTCTCATACTGTTGGTTTGGCCTTCTCCAACATTTGAATAGTTGATGACCCTTCTTTCCACAATTCTTTCAAGGAGAAAAATCATGTCTTGTTCCCCTATTGACACGAGGAAAAATAAAACATGAGCCTTCCTTCTAGATCCACTTCTTTTTTCCTTTGTCTCCCTGATTTGATTGATCTTTTGCAGGTAGTGCACCTTAATAGACCCTTCTCACCTCATAAGCCTTCTCTGTTCTTGTGCCTGCAGTGAATTAAATACTTCTGCCAAACTGGTTGTTGACAAATCCTTAGAATTTTCCAACGAGGAAATATTTGCTTCAAACCTTTTAGGGACTGTTACAAGAATTTTTTGAACCAATCTAGAATCAGGAAATTCAGAGGCAAGTAATGTTACATTGTTGGCAATGTTGAGTAATCTATCGGAATACTCTTTGACTGTCTCTAAATACTTCATCTTTTGAAGTTCAAATTCCCTAATGAGGTTGAGAATACACATTCCTTTTAACCGTTCATCTCCTTCATATTATGTTTTTAGAAAATTCCAGACATCAAAATCTGATTTGATTGTCATAATTCACACAAAAAATTCAGATGAGACTGTAGCAAATAACGTCACTCTAGACTTTTATTTTCTTGTTTTCTTCTCCTTGTTATTCCTTATCTGCGCCATGATATGATTTGCAAGCAAGGGAGGAACTTCGTTGTCCTCGTCAATAGCTTCCCAAAGATCATTTGCCTCCATATCTACCTTCATTCTTACTGGCAAAACATGATAGCATTCACCTTTGAAGACAGGTGGCGCTAGTGCAGTGAAAGGAGTTTCTGAATACATATTAGAAAAAAAAAAGAAAATAAGGAAAATGTGTTTCCTTCAATTACAGGTCACTCAAGAAGAAAGCTCTGATACAACTTTTGTTGGAGTTCTTTGATTGAACTTCACTTCTATAAACAAAAATAAAGGCAAGAAGAAGACAAGAAAAAATTTCTGGTGGAAAAATGACTTTTAATTGAACTGAAATTTTGTTTAAATACAGAGAAAATGCAATAACTAAGGCATATATCTAAGAAACTACTTTGCACATGATTCCATGTTAAAAAAACTCTTAAAAATAACAAATTTACTCCTAAAAACAGCAAGTAACTTAAAATGCTGAAGATGGCAAAAAAAGCTGGAGAAAATCCAGCAAACTTCTATTGACTAATTAATGTAGTAAGTGAGGCAATTAATCAACATATTATGTGATTTAATTAAAATATAATTTTAACTCTATTTGTGAGATTCTCAACCCGAAAACCATCATTATGTGCTACATGATGATTCAATGGCTCGCCCATACTGCCAACATTGTCATTTACCATACTGGAGTATCGAATTTCTCAGCTAAGTCGATCCACTAAGCAATAAGGATTCATTTAAAAAGTATAATCTTATACCCATGTTGGCAAAACATGGTTTATGATGATTTTGAGTTGTCTAAACTCATCCACATATCGGTGCTCAATGCTACTCAAAATAATATATATACTTATTCTCAAATGTATAAAACATACTCTTTTTCTAGTTTAAGATAATTTCTTTAACTATCCTCTTAAAAGAGGTAACTGCTATAAAATATCTCTGAACTCATTGCTTATTTAGAAAACATGGTTTCTCTTTGCTCAATGTAAAAATATTCTATCTACGTTGAGATAATTACTCAAAAGTGCCTCTTAAGAAGTAGCTGATCTATACTCAATCTTTTCTAAAACTCTTTTACTTTCCTTAAAATAATACTATTTTTCCTCACTTAAAAATGAAATATTTGGGAAATACTTAATTCCTTTATACTCTCGCTCAAATCTTGGATAAAACTTTCTCTCATACTCTCTTACTTTCCCAAAAACTTAGTTTAAAACAACAATAATTGCTTTAAAAGATTCTCCAAATTAATAACTCAAAATAGGGTTCATGCTAATATATAATCATGAACAACTAAACTCAAGGATGACAATAACAATATTGAAAAACTCAATACTTAGAAATAATGAACTCAGAACTCAATAATACTACTATTCTCAAGAATAATCAATTAATAGGGCTCATGCTGAAATATAGACATGAACAAATCAACTTAAAAATATCAATGCATAACGTATAGAAACTGAACTTTTATGAATATAACTCAAAATCCAACAACAAGCTCATCTCAAGAATTCTCAAACTAAGGGTATATCCCTACATTAAACTTTTACTAACAGAATTGAGATATAGGGTGTGAGGACGAACTCAATCCATCACTACAAATAGCCTTACATACATGGAGGAAAAAGGTTACTGAAAGAGAACTTCATTAGAATCTTGAAGCCCTAGCTTGAAGGAGAACAATCAAGAAACCTATTCAACATAATCAACTGACACTATTTTGGTTCAAGTGCCAAACGATCGCGTGTAGTGATATAACCCAACCAAGGGTTGGGATCGTTCCCACGGAGAGTGGTTTTGAGAATTAATAGAAAAATAAATTCAAGTTCTAATTAGTCATAGCTATATATGTTAACGAATAAAAATATACTAAATCTAAGGAGTGATGCAAGCGTCAATTATCAATGGGGAGTTTGTAAAAGTTATGTCACGCCCCGAGCTACCCCCGAGACGCGGACACGGGACCTAGGACCACAAGTGATCCCAAGCTAACCCTACTGGCATGATCATGAGCATACTAAAGATAATAAAATGATTAATAGAAACTGTGCGGAAGCTAAATCATAAATAAACTGAAGAGATGGGGAGTACCCATATACTATAACTGAGATAAATCAAAACTGATGAGTTTAATACAAGGAAGATATTAACTCAATAATAAGTTGAATCTATCTATGTCTGAAATAAGCCTCTAAACTGACTAGAAGTGTTGGGACATACCCCAACTAGATCTAGCAAAATTGAAACTAAAGACTAAAAGTAGTAAGGATAAACATGTCACTAGTCCTCGAAGAATGAGGACTCACCACTGATGCTGCTGAACTGAAGATCGGGAATCGATCTAAGCGTGATCTGGATGCTGAGAACCTGAACCTACATCACGAGAAGATGTAGCGCACGTATGTGTCAATACTTGAAAGGTACTGAGCATGCAGGATAGAGTAAAGCTGAAATAACATATAACTAAACAAAGCAATAAAGCAATGAAATCATCTGAACATGATATAGATACTGTAATACTGAATACTGAGCTAAGTGATGCAATGACCAAATTTATAACATGCTGAGACTGAATACTGACTGTACTGAAATATGGTCAATGCAAAAGAGTCTGACTAAACTGTGGGAGCTACTAATAACCGACATAAAACCACATGAGCTAAATGTGGAGTCCAATGTGTACACCCCATCGAGAGGACCTAATATACCCTGCCAAAGGTATAGAGGCATGCTGGCGTGATCACTAAACTGATGTTGCCCATAGAGGGGACTTACACCTACGTGGCTCGTAGTTCTGG